AATGTAATGTAATGTATGTATGTATGTATGTAATTTAATGTAATGTAATGTAATGTAATGTATGGTATGGTATGGTATGGTATGGTATGTATGTATGGAAGGAAGGAAGGAAGGAATGAATGAAAGAATGTATGTATGCATGCATGCATGCATGCATGCATGCATGCATTTTTTTTTTTAGTTGCTGGTTTGGCTCCTTGGCCTCTGCCTAGGCGTTGTGCCTCAGTGCTGCCGTCTCAGAAGAAGTCCACGTTGAGAGGTTCATCATCCGCTAGGGACTCTTCTTCTCCTTGTTCTTGGGCACTCGCTGTCCTCATTGTGGTGTCTGGGTCGAGGCGTGCTTTCTTCTGGCCTCTATCCTGTTCCACTGTCTGTTGGCTGGGGTTCATGGCCAATGCAGTGGCAGCCGGTGTTGCTTCTGAGTTCAGGCTGTCGAGTGCCGTGGAGAAGTGTAACCTGCGAGGCGTGGGTCCTCAGTTTGGCCCCTGGGTGGGTGAGGCCTGGATTGCGTCCTCCAGGCGTGGGGCCGTGCTTGGATGTTGGTAGGCTGCCCTGTCCGATTCTGTCTTGGAAAGGGGTTGCCCTTGTGGGTCATCCTGGCTGTTTGCCTTTTGTGTGGCTTGCTCAACCTGTTTGCGGAAGAGTTCTGGCAGCGGTGGTGATCCACTGATGGCTGCCCCTTTGCAAGGATTTTTCAAAGCTCCAGTGAGGATGATTCTTTGTTGTCCATCTAGATGCAAGCTCAGGCCACATTGGGTGCAGGAGACTTTCTCTCCCTTCTGCCAGAGTGCATGAGAGCTGTGTCCTGAATGGGCTTCAGTGTACGGTTGATCTAGGCACTTGCTGGCCAGATATGTCATGAAGGCTGCCTCATTGACTCGCTTGTGAATGCTGGTTCCACACTTGACACATCGTAGGTAGCCGGTGGTGGCTTCAAATTGGTGCTGTGCGGGCTCTGGTTGGTTCTGGGCTTGTTCCTCCAGAAGGTTCTTGATGACCTGGGCTCTGGTTTGTTTCTTTGGCATCGCCTGGTGAGGGCTGGCCTGTTCAGGGTACTGTTCATCCAGGTGTACACGCAGCCCGCACGCTCCACATTGATATCCACTTCTGTGTGGCGCCCACCTGTGTTGTGGTGATTGCCATGGTCTGGTGCATTGGCCCACAAGCTGTTTCTTGTATTGTTTTGTGTGCTTGCCAAGTTGTCTGGTGGGCTTCTGGTGTATGTAGTGCTCCTTGTTGTTGTAGATCTTTGCCAATCTCTCAGCTGCATGCCTGTAGATGAGCATGTGGTCGTCATCGAGCACCTGTTGCCACTCTGTGAGCTTCTTGTCATTGAGGCTGCTCGCCCGTTCCCAGGCAGTCAATGCTGCATCTCGTTGTCGCCGGCGAAGTTGTGGCTCGTTGCCGGGTGCTTCTGGGGTCTTGGTGTTTCTACATACATATAGGACTGTGACTCTCTGGTAGTCCTGCTCAGTGACATGTTGCAGAATGTCCTGGTAAGGGCCTCTTTGGCTAGGGTTGGTCCACACTGCCCATACTGTGGTGAGTTGCACAATCACACGCACAGTGGTGTTGGTATGCTTGACCAAAGCCACCAATTCTGCAAGGAGTGCCCTGGTTTTTGTGTGTGTGTGGTGGCTCTGGAATGCCTGTTATGGCTGCCAGTCGTTGCAATTGTCCCATGGAGAGATGGTGTATGCAAAGTCCAAACGCCCAAACCTGACTGCGCACGTCGTAGTCGGACGGTGTGGCATCCAACGTGAAAGCACAGCCTTGGTATTGGCCTGGGGAGAGGATCTGCAGATCTTGCCATTTGCCGTGCCTTTGGTATGGGTGTGGGTCTTGGTGATGTTCTTGTGGTTCCAAAGGTGCCCACCCGGAGTTCCATAATGGTTCTTCAGCATGATTCAGGATCCTGTCTGCCCATTCCGGAGGCAGCAGTTTGTGTTGTTGTCCTTGATGCCACTTGCACAGCCAAATGATATGCTTTGGTGTGGCGGGCACTTGGCACAGAGGGCACATCTTCGTGTTGCCTGTTTCTTTGTAATGGATGGCTGCTTGAACCCAGGTCTTGAGGTGTGGCCGAAGGTCTGCAGGCAGCTGCTTGATCATTTGCCTGTATGGGTGCCAGTCGATGCCTGTGAGCAGGTGTTGATAGTGAGCCTTGTTGGCCAGTCGAGCTGTTCTCTGGTTTCTGGCTTCTTGTTGGAGGGTTCGTTCAACCTTCCACCATGGGTCTTGGAGGCTGAGCTCGTTGTCCTGGAGGATCTGTGAGGCTGGTCTTGTCCATCGATGTAGTTGTTCGACCTGCCAATTCCATTCCAGGAGGTACACAATGGTCGCCGCCAGTGGTCCACGGACGCTCATGAAGTTGGCTCCAGGCTTGCTCCAGGTGTGTCATCTGGTTGGGTGGACACTGTTGATAGAGGGTGTGGACTGCCTTGATGTGCTGGATAAGGACCTGGTCAGCTGGGTATTTGTTGCTGTGCAGATCATAGGTGCTGTCCAGGAGTCCTCCTTTGCGATGGCCAAGATGAGTGGCCATTGCTTGCCTCAGGGCAGTTCTGTAGCGGGGCGCCTTGAGCCTCCACTCCCCACAGTGCAACCGGCTGGATACCTCCTTTGTGTAATCGGCGGCGTATCTTGAGCGCTGGGGTCTTCAGGGATCGAAGCTTGATTTTCCGTTGTGTGGCCTTTTGAAACCTCTGTCGTAACACAGGGATCCTGCGTCGTCTGGCTGCTTGATGATCGATGCCTAGATCTCTCATGACAGTTGAGACTGGTGGCTCTTGTTCTGTGAGCATCGACCTGGGAGCATGGTCTGTTGCCTTGTCAGTGGCAATGAAGGGTTTACCTTCAGGCCCATGGCTGTGAGGCGGCTGTGTAGATCCCGGTAGGCCTGTCAAAGTCCACATCATCCGCCCAGCCGGAAAGGTTGATCTGGGGATGTTGTTGTTTCCATGGAATGAGTGCTGGCGCCAGTACCACTTTGGCCAGGCTAGAAGTGGAGGGGGTCATCTCTTGTTCTGCAAGGATTGCTTTGGGGCCCGTGTATAGCTGCGTGGCAAGCTCCAACAGTAGTGGAGGGTAATCCAGCTTGATCGCTTCTTCTTGTAACTTGTTGAGCTGGATTGTGTCATGTGACCCCACTCTTGCGTCTTGCTTTGTGCACCTCTTGTCTCAACAGCCGTTCCAATGCCACATGTAGTACACAAGCTCCTGGTCGAGCTCGGTCATGATCCATGTCTGCAGGAAGAGTTCTCTGCCATTCATCCAGCAGCGGCTTTCTCAAACGACACCACACCCTCCAGAGCACTGATGTCAAAGTGATTGGCCTTTCGATCTTGCTGTTCTTTGGTAACATCACTACTAGGTGCATTCGTAGTTGTGTAGGCAATTCAGCTTCCTCTTCCATGGTCTGATACAACTTTAGCAAGGGGTTCAAAGCCAGCGGTGGAATGCTCCTCATGAGCTGTGTTGAGACCGCATCAGGTCCACTGGCGTGATGTAGCTTGCCTGCAGTGAGTGGTGGGAGCTGTTGTGCTTGTGCCCTGGCTTTGTGGAGAAGTGACGGTCTGGGCTGCGGGTTGTTGTCCTGTCTGATGTGCCAGAGTCGTCCCCAGTCTTGAAGTCTCTGGTCCATGCGTGGTTGCATGGGAATCTGTCGGTACGGTCTCTCCCATGCGAGCTCACTGGTCTTGAGGCTTCTGAACAGTCCGCGTAGGCCTTTCTTGTATCCCTCTTTGAAGCCATTGTTTGTACTGTAAATGACTTCTTCCTGCGCCAAGTGCTGGGTCTCCTGAAGCTGGTGCTGTATGCTGAATGAGGTCAGCTGCATGTGCGTCCCTGTACTGGTGCCAGTGGTGACAGGTGTCGAGGAACTGCGCCCACATGGGTGGTCCTGCCCAGTGAAGATGGACATCTCGTATCATGTGCATGAAGCCTTGAACTGGACCTTTCTTCATGTTGGCCGGCTGTT